CCGCGGCGCCGGCCAATTAACACACTTTTAAAAAATGAGATTGGGGTTAGCTCATGCAAATTTAGTCAAAATGAAAACATTATTTGACATATGTTAACATAATTATTAAAATATACACATATATACAAACATAAAGAAAAATAAAACAAATAAAAGTTGGTGGTACATTGTCACTGAAAAGCAGAAATAACCAGAGAGGCATCAAAAGCCTTGATCCAAAGAGGCTTCTATGTGGTATAAAGCAGAAAGACAGACTACTTGTAGCTGTACCAAGAGGGTGGAAAGCAAGGACAGAGAAACTTGTATGTAATCAAGATGACCTTGTGCGGTCTTTCCCAGTGCCCCTGGAAGGCTGTTCTCATTTCTTTTAATTCCATGAAAACGACAGTTCCTGGAAATACCTCAATTGATATGGTTGCACAATCATGTATACAGGCAGTTTTACTCAATGATGAGTGACTGCCCTGTGAGAGCCAATTGTATTTAGTCTTTTACAGCTAAACAGCTGGTAGTGACTGCCCTGGAAAGCAGACTTCTCTCATTAAGATGTATGGTAACTTGCTATTGGTGCTTTGAAGGATCTTTTTCACTCCTGATCCCTCCCACTCTTCTCCCAACACACATTTCAATGTATCCCAACCACCAGCTGCTGACTGAACAGCTCTGGAGTTTGCAGTTAGGCCTCACTACGCATTTCCAATGTCACCTATACAAGCTCATTTTTTTTGACAATCACACTTCACAATTCTGAAATTACTTTAACATTCATAACCTTATTCTACATTCACAATCATTTCAGCCTTACATAACTAATAGTTATCTATAAATCTTCTTTGAGAAACAGAGAAGTTTAGAGAACATAGATTTCAAAGTCAGAAATCTATGGAGCTAACTTCAAATCCTTCCAAACAACCTTTCTGAGTTATGAGTTATGAGGTTTAATCGAGATAAAGGTCAAATGTGGATGTAAGTATTGTGTCCGACATGACCTAGGGATTCAAAAAAATTTTAGTTCTCATTCCTTCCTCTAATCTTTCTGAGCTCCAGCTTCCTCATATCTAAAACAAGGGCATAATCAATTCCACAGGGATCTTGTACAGTGTATTGATATAGTATATCAGTGTCTTTGGGACCTTGTATGGGCTTGGTAAATGTTAACTTCCTTTCTTATTAAGATGGTGCTCATTAAACACATGTCTAAGCAACATTAGAAAAACTGGTTAAATATAGTACTAAATGGGAGATAAACAAAAGGTTTAACATATATTCATAGTCTGACTGGTGACCCTCAATTTTTTTTATGGAAATTTCCAAACTGGGTACATTCTACTGACATATAAGTGAACTCAGCTCCAAGGTAGACCTCCATGATTCTGGAGAGAAAATACTGTATTTTCCTACTGATTTGAAAGAAGAAAAGTTGTCACAGGAGAAAGAGTAGGAAATTTCTTATCTAATGAAAAACTATTATTAGGGAAAAAACTCAGCTTATCACTACTTAGGAACTGTGAGAAGAGATAACTGTAAAACATTTCCCAAATCTTAGGAATTACCAACTCTACCACTAAGTCCAAAAAAAAAAAAAAAAAAACCCAAAACAACAATAAAAACAAACTAGCAGAAAACTCCCTTATCTTACGCAGCCTTTTTGGGCTGAAGGTCAGTTCTACCTGTGCTGAGACTAGACAAGGAATAAAAAACATTAAGCATCTACTGTGACTATTAGAGAATATAAAAATTTTAAAAATGTAATCCTTTAACTTTAATCAGTTAGGTCAGAGTATGGTCCCTTTTTAAGGGGAATGAGAATGCTAGTTCACTCTGCACTGATTAAACCATCCCTGTCTGGTGGAGTCCACTGTAAGCACAATACTGTAAACTGAAATAGACCAAGAGAAGAGAGCTCAAGATAAGGAAGGGTTTAGACACTACCTAGTCCCAGAAAGAGCTGAAGGAAAAAAAAAAAAAGACTTGGGGAAGCAAGAGTACCAAGAGCTATGAGAAAATGCTCACATGAAACTAGAAATAAATGCAAGCCCATGGAGAGATACTGGGGGAAAGCATATTTAAGTTCAAAATTAAAAAGAATATTGTTAACTATCAGCACTATCACAACTGGAATGTAGTCCTTTGGAAGGTTACAATCTCTGTTTATGGAAGAATTTTAGTAAGGACAAATGAACATTTATAAGGGACACATTCAAGGTGAGAACTGAATTAGATATGAGGTTAAATTTGATGACCTCATGGGGCCGGCGCTGTGGTGCAGTGGTTTTATTTTTAACTTTTATTTGATGAATATAAATTTCCAAAGTACATCTTATGGATTACAGTGGCTCCCCCCACCATAACTTCCCTCCCAACCGCAATGCTCCCCTTTCCCTCTCTCTCTCCCCTTCCATTCACATCAAGATTCATTTTCAATTCTCTTTATATACAGAAGATCAGTTTAGCATATATTAAGTAAAGATTTCAACAGTTTGCACCCACATAGAAACATACGATGAAAATTACAAAACCTTAAGAAATAGAAGAGGATACCAAGAAATGGAAAAATCTTCCATGCTCATGGATTGGAAGAATCAACATCATCAAAATGTCCATTCTCCCAAAAGCAATTTATACATTCAATGCAATACCAATCAAGATACCGAAGACCTACTTCTCAGATCTGGAAAAAATGATGTTGAAATTCATATGGAGACACAGGAGACCTCGAATAGCTAAAGCAATCTTGTACAACAAAAACAAAGCCGGAGGCATCACAATACCAGATTTCAGGACATACTACAGGGCAGTTGTTATCAAAACAGCATGGTACTGGTACAGAAACAGATGGATAGACCAATGGAACAGAATAGAAACACCAGAAATCAATCCAAACATCTACGGCCAACTCATATTTGATCAAGGATCCTAAACCAATCCCTGGAGTAAGGACAGTCTATTCAATAAATGGTGCTGGGAAAATTGGATTTCCACATGCAGAATCATGAAGCAAGACCCCTACCTTTCACCTTACACAAAAATTCACTCAACATGGATTAAAGACTTAAATCTACGACCCGACACCATCAAATTATTAGAGAACATTGGAAAAACCCTGCAAGATATAGGTACCGGCAAAGACTTCTTGGAAAATACCCCAGAAGCACAGGCAGTCAAAGCCAAAATTTACATTTGGGATTGCATCAAATTGAGAAGTTTCTGTACTTCAAAAGAAAGTCAAGAAAGTGAAGAGGCAGCCGACAGAATGGGAAAAATTATTTGCAAACTATGCAACAGATAAAGCGTTGATAACCAGAATCTACAAAGAAATCAAGAAACTCCACAACATCAAAACAAACAACCCACTTAAGAGATGGGCCAAGGACCTCAAGAGACATTTTTCAAAAGAGGAAATCCAAATGGCCAATGGACACATGAAAAAAATGTTCAAGATCACTAGCAATCAGGGAAATGCAAATCAAAACCACAATGAGGTTTCACCTCACCCTGGTTAGAATGGCTCACATTCAGAAATCTACCAACAATAGATGCTGGCGAGGATGTGGGGAAAAAGGGACACTAACCCACTGTTGGTGGGAATGCAAACTGGTCAAGCCACTGTGGAAGTCAGTCTGGAGATTCCTCAGAAACCTGAATATAACCCTACCATTCAACCCAGCCATACCACTCCTTGGAATTTACCCAAAGGAAATTAAATTGGCAAACAAAAAAGCTGTCTGCATATTAATGTTTATTGCAGCTCAATTCACAATAGCTAAGACCTGGAACCAACCCAAATGCCAATCAACAGCAGACTGGATAAAGAAATTATGGGATATGTACTCTTTAGAATACTATACAGCAGTCAAAAACAATGAAACCCGGTCATTTGCAACAAGATGGAGGAATCTGGAAAACATCATGCTGAGTGAATTAAGCCAGTCCCCAGTCCCAAAGGGACAAGTATCATATGTTCTCCCTGATCGGCGACAACTAACTGAGCACCAAAGGGGAAACTTGTTGAAGTGAAATGGACACTATGAGAAACAGTGACTTGATCAGCTCTTGTCCTGACTGTTGATGTACAATGTAATACTTTATCCATTTTAGTATTTTTTTTGTTCTAGTATTATTGGTTGAACTCTGTAATTAACACACAATTATTCTTAGGTGTTAAATTTTAACTGAAAAGTGATCCCTGTTAGGAATTTGGAAAACATTATGCTGAGTGAAATAAGCCAAACCCAAAGGGACAAATACTGTATGTTCTCCCTGATCGGTGACAACTAGCTGAGCACCAAAAAGGAAACCTGTTAAAGTGAAATGAACACTATGAGAAACGGTTACACTTGATCAGCCCTTGCCCTGACTGTTGATGAACAACTTAATACGTTATCCCTCTTAGTATTTTTTTTGTTTGTTCTACTTAATACTTTTGGTTGAATACTGTAATCAATACACAGTTATTCTTAAGTGTTGAAACTTAACTGAAAAGTGATCGCTGTTAAATATAAGAGTGGGAATCAGAGAGGGAAGAGATGTGCAATTTGGGACATGCTCAAGCTGACTTACCTCAAACGGTAGAGTTAGAAACATACCAGGGGATTCCAATTCAATCCCATCCAGGTGGCATGTACCAATGCCATCTCACTAGTCCCAGTGATCAATTTCTGTTCACAATTGATCATAATGATAGAACTAAGAGCCAAAGGGAGCATATAAACAAGACTAGTGTCTGCAAATACTAGCTGATAGAATAAAAAAAGGGAGAGAACGATCCAACATGGGAAGCGAGATACACAGCAGACCCATAGAATGGCAGATGTCCTAAACAGCACTCTGGCCTCAGAATCAGCCCTTAAGGCACGCAGATCTGGCTGAAAAGCCCATGAGAGTATTTCAGGCATGGAAAGCCAAGACACTCTGGCAAAAAACAAACAAACAAACAAACAAGAACAACAAAAAACCTAAATGAAAGATCTCTGCGAGTGAGATCCCAGAAGAAAGAACAGGTCACCAAAGAAGGAGGTACCTTTCTCTGAAGGGAGGAGAGAACTTCCACTTTGACTACGACCTTGTCTAAATATGATCAGAGTTGGTGAACTCAAAAGGCTTCCATAGCCTTGGTGACTCATGACAAGAGCCTAGGGTGATTACTGATGCCATAAACAAGTGTGTCAATTTGTTAAGTCAACAACAGGAGTCACTGTGCACTTACTCCTCATGTAGGATCTCTGTCCTTAATGTGCTGTACATTGCGATTTAATGCTATAACTAGTACTCAAACAGTATTTTTCACTTTGTGTTTCTATGTGGGTGCAAACTGTTGAAATCTTTACTTAATATATGCTAAACTGATCTTCTGTATATAAAGAGAATTGAAAATGAATCTTGATGTGAATGGAAGAGGGGAGGGAGAGGGAAAGGGGAGGGTTGCAGTTGGGAGGGAATTTATGGTGGGGGGAGCCATTGTAATCCATAAGCTGTACTTTGGAAATTTATATTCATTAAACAAAAGTTAAAAAAAAAGAAATGAAAATTGATGACCTCTGAGGTTTCCTCGAACCTTGAAATACTAGGATTCTTTTTTAAACTGTTTTTTTTTTAATTTTTTCATTATGCTAAATATCTTCTTTTTTCTTTTCTTCTTCTTCCTCTTTTTTTTTTTTTTTTTTAAAGGGGCCACAGTACCGGTCCCTAGGATTCTGACTTTTTACCTTTCTGACACGTCACGTTTATTTAAATATTTATTTATGTATTTTAAAGTCCAAGTTACAGTGAGAGAGGGAGCGACAGAGAGAGAGCTTCCATTCATTGATTTACTTTACAAGCAGCTGCAATGGCCAGGGCTGAAGTCTAGAGCCAGGAGCTTCATCTGGGTCTTCTACATGGGTGGCAGGGGCCCAAGCACTTGAGCCATCTTCCACCATTTTACCCAGGCCATTAGGAGGGAGCTGGATGGGAAGTGGAGCAGCTGGGACACAAACCAGCATCCATATGGGATGCCAGCATTGCAGGTGGCGGTTTTACCCACTACACCACAATGCTGGCCCAATCTCACACTTATTTTAAGGCAACTAACTAACTCTTAATGAAGTAATTTCTAAGTGGGAGACAATATGGTAAAGAGTGACTCATTAAGCTCATGTTGGTGGATGTAAGTTTTCTAAAATTCTGATTTTCACTTGGAACCATACATTCATCATTGACAGTAAACATTTATAGGTTGTCTTCCTTAAAGTGAGCAGCTCATTTAATTTTGGAAAAAATGTTTGTCAAGTATCCAAGTTAGTTATTCTTTCAAGTAAAGGATATTCCTTGAAAAAAAAAAAACAGCTATTTCCTCTTGCAACTCAAACAATTACATAAGTGCTTTTTCCTTAGACAGCCATCCTACTTTGATAGTTAAAGATGGGGAAACTAAGCTTGGAGTGGTTAAAAGACTTGCAAGTGGCAGCTGTCTGGTGCAGCAGCCTGTCACCTGGGACACTTGCATCCCATATCAGAGTGCCTGGCTTGAGTCTCAGCTACTCTGTGTCTGATCCAGCTTTCGGCTAATGTGTGTCCTGGAGGGTAGCAGATGATGGATCAAAGTACTTGGGTCCCTGCCATCAACGTGGGAGACCCAGATTGAATTCCATGGTTCCTGGATTCAGCCTGGCCCAGTTCTAGCTGTTGTCAGAATTTGGGGAGTGAACTAGTGGATGGAATATCTCTGTCTCACTGCCTTTCAAATGAAAAAAAAAAAAAAGCATGTTAAAGGCCATATAGCTAGGATTTAAACCTATATCTCCGGTGTCCAAAGTCTATGCTCTTTCCACTATGAAACCAACAAGCAAAATAGCAGTATATCTCCAAATAATGGAATAAAAGAAGCAACTAGGGGGGCCAGCGTTGTGGTGTAGCGGGTTAAAGCCCTGGCCTGAAGCACAGGCATTCCATAAGGGTGCCAGTTCTAGTCCCAGCTGCTCCTCTTCCGATCCAGCTCTCTGCTATGGCCTGGGAAAGCAGAAGATGGCCCAAGATTGTAGGCCCCTGCGTCCATGTGGGAGACCCAGAAGAAGCCCCTGGCTCCTGGCTTTGGATCAGCACAGCTCCGGTCATTGTAGCCACATGGGGAGTGAACCATCAGATGGAAGACCCCTCTCTCTGTATCTACCTCTCTCTCTAACTATTTCAAATAAATAAAATAAATCTTTTTTAAAAAAAGAAGAAATTGAGAGCAGCATTGTGGCATAAGTGTGTAACGTTGTCTGAGGCACTGGCATCCCATATAGGCACAAGTTTGAGATCTGGCTGCTTCACTTCTGATCCAGCTACCTGCTAATGTGCCTAGGAAAGCAGTGGAAGATAGTCCAAGTGCTTCGGACCCTGCACCCACATGGGCAATGTAGAACAAGTTCCTGACTCCTGGCTTCAGCCTGACCCAGCCCAAGAAGTTGCAGCCCTCTGGGGAGTGAACCAGTGGATCAATGGATGGAAGAGTCTCTCTCTTTCTCTTCCTCTGGGTAACTCCTTCAAATAAATAAATGAATCTTTTATAAAAAATAAGAAAATAAATATGCTGTTATAATTCTGCTGCCTTCTAGATTTCTCTAAATAATTCCTGGTAAGCAGTTTTGTTACCAAAAATAATTTATCATCAGATTTCTATTCTCTGTAGAAACAATAAAGCATACAGAATTGGAAACATTCATAAAATGTAAGACAGCCCAGCTTGTGTGTCTATGATGGTATGTGTGTGTGTGTGTGTGTCTACATGCCATAGAACATGAATAACGGAAAAGAAAAAAAGAACAGGGAAAAACCCATTTTGTTTATCAGTATCTTGGATGAGAATCTTGGAATCTTACTTTCATTCATGGAAGTATATTATTTGCCTCAGCACATTAATTTAGAGGATGTGTTTTTTATTAGCCTTATTCAACTTGGCTGGGTTCAGCTATGTGCTTCCAGCTGGGCTGACGCCAAGGTTACAACTCTAGTCCTCTAAACTCTAGTTCGCTTAGTAAAGCATAGGTTTCCTCCTGTTCCCATCTGGCTCAGTTAACACTTTTTCTACTCCATACCAGCTCCTTTCCCCCTCCTGACTCTTATTTCTAAGGCATATTTCTCTGTAACTGAAAAGATACATCACATTTTTCCTGGGGTAGGGAAAACAGAAGGATAACTGACAAAACCATGCATGTTGACTAACTATCCAACTTCAAGACCTCATTACTGGGGCTGGGGCTGTGGCCTAGTGGTAAGGCTGCTGCCTGCAGTGCTGGCATCCCATATGGGCACCGATTCAAGTCCCAGCTGCTCCACTTCTGATCCAGCTCTCTGCTACGGCCTGGAAAAGCAGTGGAAGATGGCTCAAGTCCTTGGGCCTTTGCACTCACATGGGAGACCCAAAGGAGACTCCTGGCTCCTGGCTTCAGATCAGCACAGCTCCAGCCGTTGCAGCCAGCTGGGGAGTGAACCATCTGGTGGAAGACCTCTCTCTGTGACTCTGCCTTTCAAATAAATAAATACATATTTAAACAACAACAACAAAAATAAAAACCGCATTACAGAAACTCAAAAGTATGACTTGCTTAGCTGTCTGAGGAAACAGGTAACAGCAGCAATTTCAGCAAGTGGAGGGCTGTATCTTCCCAGAGATGATCTGCTAGTTTGTCTGCTAAACCTAGGCTGCTCAGAGAGGTAGACAGATGCTTACTGTGACGCAGCACCTGCTAGTCAGCCACATGGTCAAATAAGCATGTTCCAGCTGTCCTTAGCACAGGACAAGAAATTTCAAAAGATTACAATCTGTTTTTCTTTGCTCTGTTGTTACCTTTGCCAAGTTTCCCTCATCCTCTTGAGTGTTTACATTTTTTCTTCTAGACTGTCATTGAGACTCAGAAATTCTCATTTTAAATTGTAATACGGCTTCAAAAATCATCTAGTAAATTAAAGAAAAAAACTTAGTAACAGAATTTAATTTTTGTTGTCCAAAATGATTTTTATATAATTTAAAAATTAATATAAAGAGAACAGAATTTATAGGTACAATTCTAAGAAGATACCCCTACTTTCCTCTCTCCTTCTTCCCTTCCCTCAGTTCCCCTCCTTCCATTTTTTAATTTTTGCAAAAACACAGTATGAGTCCACTCTTTAATCACAGGCTTAATGCTGCACTAACCATAATATTCAACAAGTAAAAAAATAGAAAGACCACCAATACAGTAGAATCATTTACATGTATTAAAAATAGAGGGTCTGGGAGTAGGCGTTTGCTATAGCAATTAAGATGCTACTTGGAGTACCAGGGTTTAAGTCCTGGCTCTGTTCCTGATTTAGCCTCCTAATGATGCACACTGGGAGGCAGCAGTTAATGGTTCAAGTAGTTACGGAAGACCTGGATTGAGTTCTTGGATTCAACCTGGCCTGGCTGTTGTAGGCATTTGGAAAGTGAACTAGAGGATGGGAGATCTCTGTCTATATCTGTATGTCTCTTTCCCTTTCAAATAAATTAAAATAAATACAAAAATTAAAAAAAATAGCTTTCTCTAAAAAAATTAGAGGACTTTACCAGTCAATATATATTGATGCTGGCACATAATAGGTGTTACACTAAAAGCTGGCCAAAAAAAAAAAAAAAGCTATATAAGTTCTAAGTATTCCCCAAAAAGCAGCAGGTGTGGTCAAATTTATGAATTGTGTAAGTCACATCTCATTATTTCCAGAACTCTGAGAGATGCCAGTTATTTTGTTACATATACCTCAAACTACTACCATTTGCAGACATCTAGAGTAGGTTTGTCTTTTTAAAGATTTTTTTTAAAAATGTGAAAGACAGAGTGACATAGAGATATTTAGGGACATCTCCCATCTACTGGTTCACTCCCCAAATGTCTACAATAGCCAGGACTGGGCCAGCTGGAAGACAGGAGCCAGAATGCCATCTGGGTCTCCCATATGGATGGCAGGGGCTCAACTATCTGGGCCATTATGTATTGCCTTCCAGGAACATTAGCAGGAAACTGGATCAGAAATGGAGGACTTGTGACTAGAAAACAGGCACTCTGTTAGGGGATGTAAGGGTCCCAAGTGGCAATTTAACAATGCCTACCCATACTGGAGTTAGTGAAGGCGGGGGAGAGAATGGACAGTACCAAGAAGCAGCTTAAGGAAAATGAAAGGCACAGAACAGGATTCTTCCATCCCTTGGGCAGATATAAATAGAATCAGTGGGAAAACCCAAATTCCCTGCTTCATAATCTAGC